TAAATAAGATATACACAAAAACCGACCATACCAAGTTCAATTGTAGTCGTTGGTGCATGCTGCGAATGAGCTGTACAAGATCTACCCAAAAAAAAAAATTGTGATACATTGAATTGAATACGATGCAACGCATCGTGTGTGCAAACCGTTTTTGTCGTTGGTGCATGCGTGTGTGTCTCTCTCTCGGTCTTCGTGCTGTTCGTATTTGGTTTTTGCGGGCATAAATGCATACACAAAATTTCTCTACGCTCTCGGTTTTTGTACAGTACGATGAATGCTTTGGCGAAAAATTGGTGTATGGCAGCGAATGGAAAACCAAAGATGCACCAGCAACAAAATTGCACACAATTATTTCAAAATGGCGTCACATTGCATGCTGATGGTGTGTTTCCCTCTCTTCCTCTCACGCATTCCATTTCGTTCATTCGCTCTGGCTCTCACACTCACATTTCGCATTTGCCACACTTAATATTTTCTTTCTTTCTTCAATTATATTTGCTACATTTTATCGCATTACTCTTTTTTATTTTCGGAATCCGTGGTACACACTCACATCATAGTCATTTCGTCAATTTATATGCCGTTCAACTGTTTACTTTTACTACTCTCAGCATGTCGTAATTTAAAACATGTGCTTTTTTACTAGATAAAGTGAAGCCTTTTTTTAACATGCTCTTTTTGTGTGGTTAAGTATGTAAATGACTAAGAGAGACTTTTCCGTTTTTTCACTGAACCTGAACTATTCAAGGATTTGAAGAGAAAAATGCCGTCGATGCATGGCAATTTCAAGGGAAAAAGTGGAAGAGAAAGCGAGGTGAGCACAAAAATGCTAATTTCAGCGATTACTCAGGTCTCCTGCCAAGAAAATTGACAACGTATTATTTGGAGTTTGACGATAAATGCTAAATGAGGCATTTTCGTCAACGAAAATTATGCCATTTTACGTATAGAGCAAGTTTTGTCATGTTTTTTCATCGAAATATCAAAATATTGGTAGTTTTCATTCACAAAATTCACAATTTTCAAATAATTAATAATTTGAACAGAAATGTGCAATAATTTGTGTGCAGCTGGAAAGAGAGCGAAATTTAATAGGGGTCTAAATTAAAGACGAAGAAAAAAATTGAAGATGAAAAAAAGTAACATTTCATCACCCGCAAAGTGGGAGCGAATGAATTGAGCCACTTTTTACGAAAGAGAAAGGCGAACAATGGAGAATAAACGAATTGGAATGCAACTTTCTTTGATGCAACAACAAATCGCAATAAAAAAAAACCAACAACAGTACGTAGAAACTGTGCAATATATGCATATCTTGCGAATGAATGACTGCTGCATAACTTTCATTTCACCGTAGAAACGATGAAATCCAAATTTCGCAAGACATAAACTTTCATTAATTTAATTTTCCATTTTGCAAAAGGATTTCCAGTGCAATGAAAATAAAAAAAATAACCATTTCCATCGAAATGATGCAGTTCTTTATACATTAAATGCTTATTTTTTATTATCTATGAATAGCGATGAGCAATAAAAAAAAAGTAAACGTTTAATGTGCATCGAAAATTGTCACAACGTCATTTTTTCTTCGCAATGCGAAAAGGAAAAATCGTTGCATTCATAAATTATAAGCGGATTTTCAAGTTACGATTTCTTGAATGCATCGTCATTGACATTCAAATATCATTCAAAATTCAATTCATAGGTTTATTTAAAACGTTTTGCAATGCGATTACTCATCGTTTGGAATCTAATGCGATGTGTGTGCGTATGTGTGTGCATGATTTCGTCGAAAATCCCAAAGCAGCGTAGAATATATTCGAAAATTCTAAAAAATTTCCACATACTGAAGCAATATCAGTGCATGAGTTACGATTGAAACCTATACACAACAGCGGTCTTTGTGTAAAATTAATTCCATATCGTATCGTATCGTAACAACACAAATGCACTTTGTGCTTCATTTTTTTTCGTGTGCATATGTCATGCACAATACAATTGCAATTGTGTAGTGTTCGTTTCAGTGCAATTTGTATTCGGGGGGGAATAAACCGAACAGCAGGCATACAAATTATGGAATCTATCAATTAAGAATAGAGAGTTTCAAAAAGCCCACATACACAAATACTGCACAAAAAAATCAAAAGTTGAAATTAGAGACGAATTTTTCGAATCGTGTTTTTTTTTTGTGTGTCGAAGTTTTTTAAAAAAATGAAAAAATATTAATTGAATTGCGCATGATCAATAATTTCCAAACATACGCGGATTTTCTTGACTCGTTTTTCGACCTCTCATCTCTGTTTGGTTGGCGACGTTACGAATATGGCAAAGCGAGAAGTGCATAGCAGCTTTTCGTTGATTTTATTTCGGGGGACTAAGCTTCTTTTTGTTTGATTACATTCCCATGTCGTGTTGCTACATAAAACTAAAAAATGTTGGACTTTTTTAAGTGGCAGTAATGAATTGCCCAGTAGATTGACCTACAGAGACGAAAACATAATATCCCAATTATCGCGATGGTGTGATATGTGGTTCGGCGATTTTTCTCTCGAACGATAGAAAAAAGCTCTGTATGGTTCTTGGCTCCATCATACTTTGTTTGATGACATCACACGAAGTCGGTGCAGTGGATCAACAATAAAATTAAATGCGTTATTCAATTATCACTCCGATTGAATTCACTGACTTTTTAATTAACATTTTCTCACTTTATTTCATCACAAACTCCTGTTTCTTTTATTTGGTTCAAACATTTTTTTTTTTCGTGATCGATTTGTAACGCGCTCCAGGATTTAGACTTAATATATAGAAAATGCTAACTTGAAACAAAACGAAAAAAAAAATTATTAAGCGAAACAAAAATGCACAAACTACACGGAAACTCACAAGAAAAATTTAAAATAAAAATAACGATTCGTTTGTGAACGCACGAGGATGAACAAATTTCGGGAATGGGTGAGAAATTCGTGCGTTCGTTCAACTCTGTACACACCAACCTTAAGGAGAGAAAGAACAACAACAACAAATACAACAACGTAACAAGAAATAAAAAAAAACTTTGAGTTCGAATTTTGACTTGGTTCACATGATTCCATCAGATGATAGAGACGTGAATGTGTGGTATGACTTTGGCACAACACAGCTCACAGTGAACTAATCGCATATCGTAATTTTCGAAAATCCATAGCTACTGCTCGACTTTTCTACGGCGATGATGTTTATTGCGAAGCGATATCACACACCACATACATTGACACATTGAATGCAACTCGCTGCCACACACACACACACACCGAAAGAGTGACAGAGACACAAGAACACGGTATCGTCAATGGCCGTGCAAAAAATAAAAATAAAATAAAGTGCAACGAAATGAAATCGTTCAGTGAGTAGACACACGGACACATACAGCCGAACATGGCAAAGTAACAACGCATAAAATTGAACGCTCGCAACGCTTTCGCACAAACACGGACGATGACAACGACGACGATAGAGGTGCTCGACTTCTACCATATAGCTAAATTCGGTTAACCTTATACCGTATCGTGATATTGTGCCGTTCAACATTTCATACTGCATTGTAGTTTTTGCCTCATTTCGGCTCATCGCAATCGAGAATCGATGAATGTATGTGTAGGTCCGAAAAACCCAACGGCCACGACGACAACGATGGAACAAACAACGGCCAAACTGAAATGTCTTCGAAAATCACATGAAACAGACAATATCAACGGCTGCTCAAGCAACAATAAAAAAACGACAAATGTCAAACGAAGTGTGCAAACGATAGAAAGAGTGAGAAATATATCAAGCGACGGAATCTTGTGCATGTATTTTTCAGTTCAATTTTTTTTGTGCAAGCAATAAACTTCTCAACTCCATTCAGTGTCATACATATGCATATATGCCAGCCCGATGATGACTACAACAGAGTATGTGTGTGCTTATTTATGCATGTATTTTTATGCGCCGCAAACCAGAGAGATCATTTTTACACTTATATCATATTGATATATACATGTTGTTAATTATTGTATATTCATTGCGTTCCATGCAGCGCATTTCGACCGCAGCACACATTTTCTCAGCTTCAGTTTTTTTTGTAACCCTCTCGTGCTCCTTGCCTCAATTCACTATATCTATGTATATAACATATTTCAAGTCGCAACGCGTACACGAACCCGACCCGACTCGGGCATTGGTTCATTTTTTGGAGCCTTTTTGCAATATTATTTGCATTAATGTACGTGTGCAACGTATGTGTGACTCTCTCTCTCTGTGTGTGCGTGTTTTTGTTTGTGTCGTTTTCAATTCGTGTGATGTGAATGGACTTTTGGATTCCGCGCGCACAATGTAAAATTACAATGTCGTGTTTGTAGATCGGAGTATAATCAATGTTTCAACCCATCACACGAATACACATGGATGTGTGTGGGCATCATATGCGTCTCTCTTTCACTCACTGCCATTAAATGCACGACCGATAGTAGCTCAACGACCAAAAATTGTAATATTTCAGTCGGTTTCTTATTCAAACTCCGACGCAATCAATCTTCTTTTTTTTTCAAGTACGACACTATTTTCATCACCTGGACACACCGAAAATAAAATAAATTAAAAAATGAGAAAAACCATTAATTTGCGATGAATTTAAAGGATTTTCTTTCAATTCATTCAGTTTGCATGTTCGAATGATGAAATGGTTCAGCATGGCAAAGTCCGTTGACCTGAACAAAAAATCCACATTTTAAACTAAGTCAGACGGTTTTGAAGAAATACCATATTCCAACTAGATTTGACAACAACCATCCGAACAAGAAACGCCATCTATTGCTACCATATCGAACATGTCGAATATCGCTGGAAATGATGGTGAGACGAGATTCTCTATTTAAATTCGTTTTATTCCAATTCTATGTACTATTCACAAAATGTAAAATAAATTAAAAACATTGTTACTAATCACGAGTAAATTACATTGAATTTTTCTGAATTATTTGTATTTTAGCTAGATTTTCATAAATTCATACTAACATTTTGAAAGCATTAAACTCCCTATATGCAAATACACATATTTAACCATTTTTAACATATTCAAAACTCATTTCGAAACATATTATATTTTAAATTCTTTTTTCTTTATTGGTGTGTGCATCTGTTGTCTTTTGGCTTTTTCTTTTTGTCAGCCTGCACATTTCCATTGCGACGCACCCCCTGGATGGGCATATATGGCGGAATTGGATTTGAATTTTGATCCGGTGTTGTGTACTTTAGATGGGCCGGTAGAAAATTTTGAGATTCGTTTGTAGGCATTGGAACTGAATTATTTTGCCCGGGAGACGATGAATTTGGATACGAATGTTCTACATCGTCCAAACTTTCGGCTGATTTTGGTCTGAAATTGAAAATGAAAGCGAGGAATTAATGGATTTTTTTTGCATTTTTTTCTCTATGTATTACTCACCTCGGTGGTTTGCTGGACTGCTTTTTACTGGGCCTTGGAGGTGAAGCATTATGATTTAAATCGCTCATTACCGCATTTCGCAATGAATCAACTGGATTCGAGTAATTTTCATCACTGTGGAACAATGAGTCGCGTGATGCACCACTGCTCTGTTTACTGTGATAGTATTCACCGACTTGATACGATTGCTTTGCATTTTCTCTGGCATTTATCAAATCGATTGGATCGGAGTATGAATCGTGTTCAATATCATTTGAATCGGAATGGCTACGTGAATTTGATACAGCTGATGAATTTTCCACATATTGAACTGTTTCAACGGCCGCATCTTGTTGCATTTTCTCTTGCTGTAATTGCTCTTGTAATTGCTGTTTTCGAGCCCGCGCACGTTCTTTAGCTCGACGAGCTTTGGCTTTCTCCTGAAAAAAAAAACAAACATTTTTTTAAATCGAACTTTCTGTATTGGGTGGTCGTAGCAGAGCTGGTATCGGAACCGGGGAATGCGGTCACTAGTGGGTGCCGGCACTTATTCCACATAATTTTTCAAGTGACCCAAAAATGAGCAGAACTTATATGAAGAGTGCCCACACCTTCACGGTGCCTATAACAGCTCTGGGTCGTAGGAGCATATCAAGCTATTCCACTCACCCGTTCCTGTAACATCCTGGCCAATTCTTTGTCTTGTGCTTCAATGGCAACCATACGATCTTTCTCTTCTTGTGTCATGCACACCTGACCTTCTTCCTCTTGCAATTGACGCGCCAACTCTTCATCCTTCTCTTGTTGTGTAAGACGTCGATCAATTTCGAGTATTTCATCGGCTGGAACGCCCAGCTCTTGCAATTGCCGAATACGATCTGAACAACTAACCGAACTGCTGGCCGCTTCTTCAACCGCATCATCATAGCTCAAAATGTCATTGACTGAATCGATGCGATTGATATTTGGTGTATTACTATTAAAAATGCGTTCCGATTGTAAATTACGTGCCCCTTTCGGATCGACACCGCCAACGGCCAAACTATCGCATTCATCGGGAATTTCGCACGAGTTTCGATTTCCCATCAGCATATCAAATGAGTCTGTGGTGAGCATTTGAATTCCACGATTTTTCGGTGATAAATCCTTCGCTTTCGGCGGTAATTTTGGCAATTCATATTGTTTGCTATTCATTGCTTTTGATGGTGATGTTGGTGGTTGTTTATTTGGTTTTGGTGGTAATACAATCGCTTCGTGTGGTGTTGGAAAATTATAGTCACGTTGAGCAGCATATGGTTGTGAATTGGCCTTCTTTTCTGGTGTGTGCGAATGTAAATTAATGTGCTCATAATGATGGCTATCGGAATCGGACGGTGACAATGGAGCCGGTGGTGTGCTTGGATTATGAGCATACACTTGGGTGTATTGTGTTGCATGATGATTTGCCAAACGTTTTTGACTATCTTTTGGTATATTCAATTCCAGCGAAACGTAGTTCAACTGAGGCGAATCACGAATTTGTGGCGATACTTGCGGTGCGGCTGTAACATACGATGGATTTGTAACAATATCGCATTCATTATAATTTCGACGTTGCTGCCCATTGAATTTAGTGCCCAGATTCTTTGGCGGAATGGGCAATTCATTGACAATCGGTTCGAGTGCACTTTGAAACGATTGCTGTTGCATACGTGATGATGACGGTGCCGGCACCGGTGATGTATGTTTTGGATGAAGCACTAAATCGTCTTGAAGTTGGCGCGCCAAATATTCACTTTGTTCGATATTTCGACGTCGCTCGACGTCCTGTTCGCGTCGCAATTTTTCAGCCACTTGGCGTGCGACAATTGCATCGGCTTCCGTTTGAGCATTAAGCATTTGATGGTAAAGTGCAGCCTGTTGATCGGCCACTTCTTTTTCTTTTATTTGTTCCGAGAGTGCGGTTGGGAAATCTTGTCGAACCACTTGATTTCGATAGCGATTGCCGCGATAATGATCGTTGACTGCAATGAAAAAGAAGAAAAAAACGTAAATTGTAAAATACAGAAAGGTAAGATGGATGTAAAGTGGATTGGATGAATGTTTGTGTTTTATTTAGAAAACGAAGAGGAAAAAAAAGAGAAAACCTACTTTCTTGCGACTGTAATTGTTGTGCCAAAGCGCTGTCTTCGCGTACCAACCATTCGCGACACACTGCAAAACAAAAATAAAAACAAAAAATGAACAAAAATAAAACATACATAATGCGAAATAATATGAATAAAAAAGCATTTAATTTAATTCAAGGTAAATATTTGCAAACGGCCCTAAAGAACTGGTTTCATTTGCGATGCGGACGATTTATTATCATCATTGAACTTGATTGCAAATTTAAAACGATAAAGAGAAGAAAAAAAAAACAAACACCGACAACAAACGAAAGGAATTAAAAACATTCGAAAGAATAAAAAAAGCAACGTTCACGTAATTGTTTTTCGAATTCATTTGATCGGCTGAAATCGATGTGAGGAAGGCATTTGCAATGTGTACGAAGAATGTGCCCGTTCCAACTGAGAGCTGGCGAATTCAATAAGTCGTGAGTGACGAATACGGCGCTTCGAATACAAGCACCGGAAATTGCGCGTTTGGATTTCATGAATTTTTCATGTTACTCTTTTTGGTGTGTAACCGTTTGTTTTACAGCGTCTTCCAAAAAGTCAATTGTTTGTATAATTCTCACGAATTTTTTTTTCCGTTAAACAAATTCCCCAAAACAACAAGAGTCAAGAGCATAACATTTTTCGTATAATAATTCCACGGACAAACGCACACATACTCAAAGACAAATGTAAACATTTATGTGGTTCGTGGTTCTCTCTAGGTTCATCTATAATAGCATGATTATTAAGTTTTTAGTTCAGTCTCATTGACCGTGTGTGTGTGTGTGCGTCTATCTGATCACATAAAATGCATTCAATTTCATTTTCTTTTTCGCTGTTCTTCGACACACACACACATACAAAGAGTTACTTGGTGCGTCGTTGTATACAGCGAATATGTAAGAATAAAAAATAACAACAAGGAAACGAAATAGGCTTACAATGGAATGTCGTTGTTGTGCTGCTGTCGTTGCATCAACCTTTTGTATGAAATGCATTTAATAAACGAGAACAACTAGAGACTATAAGTCATATGTGCAATGCACAATAATGTGTTGTGCCACGGACTTGGAATTGTTTTTTTTTATTTAGAAAATGACTTTACGAGCAAAATGTAATGAAATGAACATGACCGGGCGGACTGCATAATATCGACGCTTTTGTTTTTGCTTTTCAGTACGTATCCAGAAAATTATACACATCAAAAAACAATGGAGAGTGAATGCACCAACAGCTTGCGATCAAAGCGCGGGTTTTTAATATTATTACACTTTTTTTTTGTTCTCAAATCCAAATAGAGCGTTTCGTAAATGCTAATTTTTGATAGAATGTAGATGAGATATTAATGCGTGGAAAATACACGCAAGATGCAAAAACTCTAAGCTAAAATAAGTATCAAAATAAATGGAAAATTGCAATAAATTATGATTATATATATGGTGTCACACACGCCAATTTTTGCGCCTGAGACTCGATCTCTCACCGAATGACTGAGTCACTGTGTTTTCTGCATTCTTTATTTGCTCGCATTGCTTGTTCAGTGCAGTCGCACAAATTCCATTGTGATTTAATGCCATTGCAATGTGTATACGACGTAGTAGGTAATGAAAAATGAAGCGAATGAGTGAGAGAGATCAAAATAACAGCACATGCATCGCATATTCGGCACATATGTGTATTTAAAGGTATATATATAAATAGTGGTCGAACAAGTGTAGCGTACACCGTACGTACGCACTGTGTGTGTGTGCTGTGCAATATAATTTTTATAGAAATTATGGACATTTTTTGTTGTTTTTTTTGCTCGAATGGCATTTTTTCTGACATATTGGAAAGTGTTTTTGGCGGAAAAGCGAAAGGAAATAATATGAAGTCAAGTGAGTCTCTCATTCGATACACATAACACAGAAAAAAACGCACCAATCACTTTAACAAAAGAAGCGCGTTAATCGTGTTATTTCTATGAGAAGCATTTTTGAGATTTGTATAACAATATCTCTTCGGACAATATGCACCGAAGAAAAAATGCCACAGACGTAGAGAAAAAAATACTCATCTCAACAATGCGATACTTATGGCTGACATTGTGTATTCAATGGCAGTTAAATAAGCAAGATGAAATTTCGCACTGACTTTATTTTTTTGAACGAATTAAAAGAAAAATGAAAGTTGCTGATGCTGAAAGTGGTTTTTCAATTAATGGCACAGAAAAACTCGTCAATTCGATGTGTCACTAATTCGATTTTGCAACTGTAGTTCAGCTTTCCGGTCTTATGGGGCCACAGTCACTTGCAACTAATGACACAAGCTCTATCTTAATTACACTTATCGGAACGTTTCCATCTGTTCATCATCGGCTACTTATTTCTCTCTCCATCTTTCTCTGCACATTCATTTCATGTACTTTTTTTTCGCTGCGGAAAATTTAAATAGAAATGAGCACTTGCAATATGCCTCATTGCGCGGTTCAAATTTGTGTGAATTTTTTTCATAATTGGGCCTGTGCTCATTTCACAACGCCTGATTGAATTCAAACACAAACAAATCTGAGAAACAAATGCATCTGAAATTACGCGTTTAGTTGTTTTGAAAACACATCCAATGTGCTAATTTGTTTGCAGCACAAGCAATCGAGAAATATGTGTTTACTATCAAGAAATGCACAGTTCAATGGACTTTTGTGGTTTTTGATTCGACATCTTTACAAATTGGTTTTGTACATCGTTTACCTTTCATTTTCTTATGAAAGTCGTATGTAAATCACAATCCGGTTTGGTTAATTCAAACACTCGTAGTTGTTCATACATTCAAAAAAATCATCCATATTTCTTTTTACTGCATACCGTAAAGCGAACGAACAAAAAAAAGAAAAGGTTCTTGTTCTCAGTCACAATCATAACAACGCATAAAATAGAATGACTAATGTGCCTATCATTGCTTGGCTGTGCCTTCATTGATATTGTTATTGTGTATGGTATTGAATGGCTGCCGAGTCTAGCGAATCATTTGATTATTTTGTTCTACTAACCTTCATTAACACGGCCCGATTTCGGAAAGGCTGCCTCGTTCAACTCCGTCATTTTCTCTCTTTACTTTTCCAGATTTTTTTTTTTCTTTTTATCCAAAATGCACAATTTTCGAAATGCTTCAATTAAGATTAGTTTTATCTTAAGAGAAATTCACTTTCAACGATTTAATTTATATTTTTCATCTCTTTAGAGACACTAGTCGTTCGGTGTCATGCATAAAAACACTTTTTATTACACCATATATGTAAATAATGTTCAAAACAAAGTAAAAATTGATTTGAAAAAAACAAAAACATTTATTTTTGTTCAATTTGTGTTAGATAAAATAAGCTACTCATGTTATTTTCGTCTTATTTTGTAATTTGATCAACAGAGAAGGTGAACAGCGTCGTTTGTACACTTTCATGTATTGAATTTTAAATGACGACTAACAACGACAGCTCGCACAACCTATGCGACCAACATATAAGAAACGAACGACGAAGAGAACACAACAATCGACTCGTATACGAATTACGTGTGTACAATGAACATTGTTTTGATTTCTTTTCACTGTATTTACAACAACAATTAATGCGTCAATGTGTGAGCATTTTTGACATTTCGAGGTGAGAGCTTGCAACACTAAAGTTTATTTCGGTTGAAAAATGCTCATAGTTTTATTTTATTTTGCGCAGAAAAACGAAAAAAAGGTAAAATATCGTGAAAGGATTTTTTTTTAAATCAAATTTTAAATTCAAACGAAGAACCAAATAAATTAAAAGATAATTCAAAGAAGTCATTACGTTTCAGTATTTGACCGTTGACAGGTTTTGTCATTTGAATGAATCAACAGGTTTTCATGAGAGAAAAAACGTGTCAAAGGAATAAGAGGAAATCCTTATCTCAGTCTGAAGCTCAATTTAAATTCGAAAATACCAACTACAACTTTTTTTTAACATTTTTTTGCCTTTATTTAAAAATAACCGTTTTTACTTTTCCGCACACATCTAGTGTGTGAGGTAAAGTATTGGAATCGGTCAAAAAATTAACACCCATCAAAAATGTGGTTTCTGGGTGTTTTTGGGGCCAGGGAACACGAATCTAGCGTTTTTTCGATGTCCGAATGTATGTGCGACTGTGCGTAAAATTTGTTAACACGATAACTTTCAAACAAGAAAATAATTCAAAATCTGACTTTACAGGATGATTGGGGGTGCCGAGGAATAAAAACCATTAGATTTTAAGCGACTTTGGTTGATAGAGTAAAGTGTCATGTCTGGTGTGATGCCCATGGCCATCCATGGAAAAAATTCAATTTTTCTTCCAAAAGTGATATTTAATGTATTCTTAAATATCCAAAAAAAAATTTTGGTTTCTTGGTACGAGAAAACCGAATATGACGTTAGTTTTGCGATACAAATAATTTTCGACACACTTTTCATACAAAAATTTCAAAAAAATTGGATTTTTGTATGAAAGTCATGCCTGTATGATATCGTAATGAGCTGAAACTTTGCACCGGTTATTTTTATCACACAAAATTACCATTCCGAGAGTTTGAAGACATTTCAACGCATATCAGGGGTACCTCCTGAACAAAATTTTGGTATTTTTCGCTCAAAAACGAAATTTTGTATGGGAAGTACCCTTAATATGCATTGAAATTTCTTCAAACAGAATGTCAGAGTGTTAACTTTTTGTGAAAAAAATAACCTCTGCAAATTTTCACATGATTACGATATCATATAGGCATGGCTGCGATACAAAAATTCCCATTTTTAGTAGTTTTTGTATGAAAAGTGCTTCGAAAATTATTTGTATCGTAAAACCAATGTCAGATTCAGTTTTCTCTTGAATTCTTTGAGTAAAAGATTTGTAATGAATGCATGTTGTGGATCACAGTGCGGAAAAGTTCATCTAACGGATGTAAGACATTTTATTTTATGTTCAAGTATTATTTGGAGGGAAATGACTTTTTTCCGCCGCAATTAATGAGCCGGATAAAGAAAATAAAATCAACTGTTACCTCTACATCCCCAGCATGTATTCTAAATTTAATTTTTTTACAAAATTGAATACACCTGAGTCCAATTTCAATGGATATTTTCTTCGATTGCAAAACCTTAAACTTTTGCTTAAACATATTGATAAACGCTGTATTATAAATCATTTTATATTTTGATACATAAGTTAGTAATCATGTAGTCTCAATATTTTGGAAAACTTCATTACATATTTCAAAGTATACTTGATCCGATCGTCGATATTTTTTTATTTTTCGGTGCTTAGTACTGAATCAATGATGCGATCTAATTAATCGAAGTAAGCATTAAAAATGCTCATTTCAAAATTCGTGCCAATTGTATTTTGAACTTCGAATTGAACAAATCAATATTCAAAAACTCAAAGAATATAAGAAATGAAGATCGCTTTGATATTTTTGGTGATCTCAATCACATTTATTGTGATAAACTTTGTACAGCTAACGGAAGCTATAGTCGGATATTATGGTGAAGCAAAAGATGCAAAAATCGGTGATATACCCTACATCGCATTGATAAAAGTGCTTCATCCGCATATGGGAATATTTATGCCAATTTGCGCCGGTTCGATCATTTCAAAATATGACATATTGACGAATGCACTTTGTGCTTCAGCTTGTCAATATCCACCACATTGCAAGCTATACGTTGGACGAGTCAACGTTGATGATGGTGGCGTTGAGATCCAAATTGAAAGCACTGTTTGGCACGAGAGCTATGTTGAAATGGACGCAATTAAAACGTTCACACATACAATACTTGACTTGGGGATTATACATACAAAAGGCATTCCATTTTCAGATAATGTCACTGACATTGAAATGTCGAATACGCCTGTAGGACCAGTAAATAATTTTGTTGGATATATTTTCGGCTGGGGTGCTGATACTGATAAAGCGTTCAAAGAAGTACCTAAAGTATGTATGAATATTATTAAAATACCATTTGTTGAGAACTCATTTTTGATGAAAAATACTTTGTTTTTTTGTTTTTGTTTCTGTATAAATAGCACCACCCTATCTTAAAGTACGGGAAGGTGAGCTATTTTAGTTGTAAAGCTCCAACAGACAGGTTCAGAGGTATTTGTACAACTATAAACGACGACTTTCCGGAAGTCCAACCAGCCATTTCCGATATGGGTAAGTATTCTTCAAGTGGCAAAAGGTGTAGGCATCATGATATTAGAAGCAATAAACGTGACCAAAACAAGAACCAAAATTGAAAAATCTTGTTTGCCACTTTACTAATATTACAAGTATTCAACCCAACAAGCTAGCTGTTGATCAACACACAATTTTAATTGTAATTTTTTATAATTTCGTAGGTGCGCCTATCATAGATAAGAGCAGTGGTAAAGATAAGCTGGTTGGTGTCGGAAGCTACTATCACTTCCGAGTAATTAAAAAAACTATGAACGAATTTTTTGACTATTAATTTGACCTTCTTTATTTCTTACATAGTATGAATTTGCGCCTAATAAATCGACACAATTTCATTCGGATAGCGAACAATGGTTGCTATACAATAAGTACTTTCCTGTTGGTGAAAACATTAACTGGATCAAGGACAACATGTCTCAGCATTAGCTGAGTACCACTTTACACTTTTGGTGGGTCTTCCTTTGTTTGGATTTTGACTTGCAACACTTTTTGAATGTAAACAATATATATGTACGCGTGTATGTGTGTAGGTGATTACAATTATTTGTCAAATATAGACAAAAATATTTTTGATTTTTTCCTTCCTAAATAATGCTCCTTACACAAAAGCCACGCAATACATTCTCTAAATAAAAATACGTTCATAAAATGATAAATAGGTTTTCGAATGTTGGTTTTTTATTTGATTTGAAAATATTTCGAGGTGTAAACCATATGGATAATTTTATTTGTGATAAAAATGTATTTGTGTTGTTGCATACAAAATCATTTAAATCGCACGTCAACGGCAGCACATACGAAGCGAAAGGGGAATATGCAACCGTTTCGTATGCGTTAGCCGTACGAGTTCAGCATTACTCAGCTCTCAGTTATATGCTGAGCAGCAGGAAATAATGATACTCTGCCAAAATTTCGGTTCCATGCGGAAAAGTCAGCTTGCGTACGTAAGCCTCTTTATTTTAACTCAAGTTCACTTTAATTTTATTAAATTAATTTTCGATTTACACATGAGAGTTTTCAAATTCAAACTACAATTTGACACGTTGGAGAATTTGATTTGGTGTATATTCAATTTTAACAAAGAAACGCACTTATTTCGATTTTAATGAGAAAACCAACTATTTTTTTAATATTTTAAGATCTAGTGAACTTAATCCATATTTACGTGCACAAAAAATGCGCATTTTCAAAACTAAATGACTTTTAATGTGTTTTTCTAATCCTAATGCTTCAATTATGATCTGTATAGCTCTAAATAAATATGAATTTATTTTCCATTTGTCTTCACACGCTGAATTAAATTTAAAATGAAAGACGATTCAAAAATCGTAATATTATTTTTTTCGACAAAAAATACTACTCAATGGCAAAGATGATTTAAGTAGATTTTTTTCCTAACTAAATTATCTTATTAATTGTAAAAAAAAATATGAAATTTTAAATTAAAACATTGTAAAACTGGCTACAAAATATATCGAAACCCCTCACACCCAATATTGATTGCGACGTAAAAGCGGGTTTGAATGTTGTTGTCGCTGTAATGTGGGTTGCAATATCGATGAGTAATTGACTTCGTTGGCCACATCACACGATGAACTCCATTCGTCTTGTTCATCTCCGTACGGTGAATAGCACGGCAATTGATGGAGCTGTTGTGATGCACTTACATTATTCAGGTCGATCATTTCGTCGGACTCTGAATCGTCGACATTATTGATCGGAATCACTTTGCAATGTGGTATACTGCTAAGCACAGGCAGTGATGTTGTCACCGAGTCTTCGCCATCCGATGGTGAATACATGCGATTGTTATTGATGTTCATGAAATCGGGCGGACGTGGCAGTGCCGGATAGTCTTTGTCGATGTTATTTTTGTTTGCCTTTGAATTCGAATGGCATCTCAAAAAGACGATCAAAACTAAGACTAGAACAAACATTGCCGCCAATGTGGCGATTAAAAATAAGTAATTTATCGTCCATGATGCTTCGTATGCAATATTTACATTGTCATTCTTATCAATACTATCGACTAGTTGTGATTTCAGTTTGTGTATTTCAATCGAAACAAACGATTGGCCTGGCTGATATGGCTTCACATACAGAGCATATTCAAAGTAATCATTCACTGAGACGACGTCTTCGGGTAGCTTGCGAGCAATGAAATAGATAACACCACTCTTCAGCTCTTTGTATGTAAATGACGATATGTCTTTATCATTTGAATGCTCTAGATCGCCTGTATTTCGAATGATCTTCTTTATTTTTCCATGATCCGGTTTTCGGGTGATCACTATTTTTGGATTGTAACGATTTAATTTCATTTGATAGGGATTCTCGTCCATGAACGATGTTGTTAAACGGATTTTATCTTCTGATGCAATTGATATGCCATTGAGTTTGATTAGAGGCTCGACGATTATTTTCACCTCGACGTTCTCGAGTATTCCTTGACTCGTATCCGGAACGTACACTGTTACCTGAATTTTTATTTTTGAAATGAAAATGGAATTTGTTTTATTAGGTTATTTTTAGTAGTACTTTGAAAACTTTTCTATCTCCCGGCGCAGAGCTGTTTTGGGCACCGTGGAGGTGTGTGTACTTTTCTTATGTGTCTTCTTCTCTCTCTTGTATATTCAGGTTCGGCACTTGAAAGATCATATGGAACAGTCCACACACTTCGTCGGTGCCTATAACAGCTCTGCCCCAACTAGCAATACTTTCTCTAAAACCAATATTTACCATGAATTTATCGCTCGATTTTGACATATCACTTTGAAAGTAAACAATTTTCTTGTTGACCAATTGATTGTATGTAAATCGGCTCGTTTGTCGATTTTCGCACAGCAAAACACCATTTTTTGGTGCATCGGTAACATTGTACACCAGTCGATTGCGATCGGCGTTTGTATCAACTGCAAAATGTGTCTCACGAATATGCGTTGTATTTGCACCCTGTTGCATATAAACCAGGTCTTTTTCGTTTCCTGGCCCAACAGTGACCGGTATTACTTTTAAATTGAAAATCTCCGACGCTGGTGCAAATTTTCCGTCAGAAACTCGAAAATAAAATGTCGTCAGCTGTGGCAAATGATTGTGAACGTACAGAATTCGATTTTCATTAATGTCCAACTGTGAAAATCGATTGCCATAAGTCATAATGTCTTGTGCAATTCCTTCGTCTGAAATTTTCATCAAAATTCCAATGGTGGGTGCACTTATGATATCATAAATAATGTCAGCCGGTCCCGTATCTGCGTCTTCAGTCAATAGCTCCTTTTTCGTTATCGTGCGATTTTCTCCTTCGATTATTGTCATCTGCGGTGATTGTGTGACCAAATAAAATTCATGATCGTTGATCGGATTGATGACAACAGGAATCGTTAGATTGCACAGGAATATATTGCCTTGTTGTAAATACACCGACAATCGAATTTTATCCTCGATGGTATCGGAATGGTCATGCAAATAGTAAACTTTTTCGGAAATAAAATCATCTAAAGAGACTCGGCTTAAGTTTCGTGAACCATCAATTGGCGCAATTATACCGTGTGCCGGTTGATAGATGTCAATGAATAATTCAGGCGATGGAATTCCCGCTCGAGTCGTTAAATACTCGACAACTTTTGACAAATCCAATTTAATCGGTGCCTTTTCACCTTCATCTAAATTCAATCGATTTACCGGTAAAAATCGCACCAAACCACCCGATGACACCGATATCTCAATATTGAATATTTGATCGATCAAACTATTGGCAAACTTTGATTTCACATCAAAGTAAAATGAATCATTTGATTTCAGCTCAACGGTTGGATGTGTATGTTCATAAACAATTCGCCCTTCGTTTATATCGTGCTGGGTAAATTCACTGACTTCTTGTGAACTTCGATTGTCTGTGTGATCATAAACGATTCGACCAAATTGTGGATTTATTGTTATCTCATAAATGACATCGCGAAGTTCATCGGAACATTTGAATTTCAATTGCTCTGGCATTATTTGCTTTCGTGTCAATGGAAATACGTGCAATATTTCATTGTGGATTTGCTCCAAATTCACCGGATTCGTTGTGATGAACAATGTTTGCTCTGGGCTACTGTGATCGCCGTCGGTTACATAAAAGTCGATTTGACCATTCAGCTTGTTCGATGTATGATGGAAAAATACGAGATTCTCGTTGATTTCATATTGCGTAAAATTTGTCAATGGCATGCTAAAGACGTCATCTTGATGAACAACAACACCACCAACTACATTTACCAACAAAAACCTGATGTGGTCGGATGGTGTATCGTAGTCTTGTGCCACTGAAATTAAGAAGAAAAAAAGAGTTAGTTGGAATAAAAAAATCAGTTTTTTATCAAAATGATTTTTTTCTTACTTAAGTCCGTAGTTTTGATGGGCGACCTTCCGCCAACCCACATCTGTAGACCTGTATTTGTTACGACTTGTGGCTTTTCATCGTTTACTTGAATGATCGTAATGTAGAAATCAAATGGCACACTCTCCTTGTTGCGTGAAACAGCCACCAAGCGAATGACATCTGTTGAATTTTCACTTCCGTCATGGATGTAGTAAATTGTACCACTTTCCAACTGCTTATGTGTGAAACGATTGACTTTCGACGTTTCCGATTTTACATCACCAAATGATGGCTGCTGTAAAATTCGATACTCAAGGATCTTTCCGCGATAGTAATCCGAATATGGAACCATATCCATTGGCTCTAGTTTCAATGATTTTCCTGGAGGGAAATTCAATTTGAATGGTTTTTGAAATATATTTTTTTCATGTGAATTATTTTGCAATGATTTTTAAGTAAAACATGAAGCTTAAGAGAACAAAAATTACCTTCTTCAACCGAAACGTTTTGAGTTTGAATGTACAAATTCTCTGGTATAATGACGATTTTTAGCATTAGCCCTCGCAGCCAAGTTATGCCATTCGTCACATCAAATATGAAGTGATCGACTGATTGATTCACACCAGCTTGAATATAAAACATTTTCTCCGAATTGATTGTCGACTGATCGAATACTTTGCAATTGTATTCATCATCAGAGGTTATCGATTGAATTTCCAAATAGCCATGCTGCGGCGATGACGTTACCAAATAGGTTATGTCGCCAGGCGAAATATTTGGATGCACGATCTAAAAGTGAAATGATTAGAAAAATAACCAAAAAATCCTGCATGGTCTCGTTTTTTACCTCTAAAATATCGCGTGAAATCATGACACTGGTGGACTCTTCCACATACAGAGTTTTGTTTCGTCGAATTTGAAGTAGATCCCAATAAGCTGGCGGATAAATTCGAATCATTATCTCTCCCTCCGCTGAGATTCCTTTGGCTGTCACTCGATACCTATGGATAAATAAAGAGTCTTACAGGAGTAAGACGAACTTTTCCGCACTGTGGTATTTGCGTATTTTATTAAGCAAGTTCAAAATAATATTTGTTCGATTTTTCAAGCCTTTCAAGCGGCGTAAAGTTCGAGACCAAAAACCCTCAACTTTGGCATCGAAATATTCTTTTATTTAATAACAGAAGTACTCGAGAAAAGATTTTTCACACTTTCATGATGAACCCATTTGTACGACATTTGAAAGTATTTCATTTTCTAACAAAACACTATAAAAATATATGTCTGACGTTAATTTTGCCATAAAAATTATTTTTGAAACACTTTTCATAACTAACTATACTACCTTAATGGCGTGAAACTTTGTACAGGTTATTTTTTTCACAAAAAAATAACATTTGGAGGGTTTGGAGGAATTTCAACCAAAATTAAGAGTACCTCCCATACAAAATATTCGTTTTTGAGCCGAAAATTGAAAATTTTGTATGGGAGGTACCCCTAATTTTAATTCAAATCTCTTCAAACTTTCAGAATGTTATTTTTTTGTGTAAAAAATAGTCTGTGCAAAGTTTCACGTCATTAAGGTAGCATACAGGAATGGCTCCCATACAAAAATTCAATTTTTTGAGATTTTTTTAAGGAAACTGTATCAAAAATTGATTGTATTTCAAAAATAACCTCGGATTCGGTTTTCTCGTACCAAAAAACCCCCCAATACATATTTTTGAGTGTTTAAGTCTACATTAAGTATGACTTTTGGACGAAAATTGGACTCTTTTTCATAGGTATCACTCCAGGCATGGAATTTTTTTCCATTAACCAAAGTCGCTCAAAATCTGATGATTTCTATTCCTGGGAACCCCAAATCATCCCGTGAAGTCAGATTTCAAATAACTTTTCTGGGTGGTGAGAAAATCGATGGACAAATTTTGCGTACGGCGGACAACGTACGACGTACGACGTACGACGTACGACGTGGAACAGACCCACAACAACCATGCTCAAAACGGCCTGATTCGGGTTCTCTGACCTCAGAAACGTCCAGAAAACATGTTTTTGAAGTTTCGTAAATTTTGACCTATTGCAATACTTTCCCCTTTCACACTAGGTGTGTGCGGAAAAGTAACATGGAAATTTACGATTTTCTGATAATTAAAAAAAACTAATCTGACATCGTTATCAATAAGAAAACGTCGTTTTTCTCTCAATTAAAAAAGTTTATCTAAATAAAGCAATGAAAAACTCACTTGATTTTATCCATCGACGCTACGTCCGAATTCCAATAAACGAGCCGTTCTCTCATGACATCGGTTTGTGTGAAATTTTTCACCGAAGTTATGTTATTATTGGATCTAGCCATAATAGTTCCATTGAATTTCCGTCGTAAAATTTTCAAAACGCCATAATTTGGTCCCTCAAGCACCGTATACTCGACTTCATCCGGAATAATATTCAGATTCGTTTCAATCGCCAAATCGCTCATTTTGATTAAAATATACTTGCTTTCTTGTACAACGGTTGCATTTTTCTCCGTAATATTTATGAATGGATCGGCAGCAATGACATCAAATTTACTTGGCACTTGAAACTGTCCGTCAGTCACAACAAACGAAACTTGATTCACTTCCGTGTTGTCCAAATGTTTCAGTAGAATTCTGCCCTGATCAATATCCTCTTGTGTGAATTCGCTTAAAGATCGACCAGAGCCAGCATTACAAAATTCAACGGTCGACGAATTGATTTTCGTATAAATAATGTCGATAGCATTCGTATTGATATCGGGATCGATAAAACGAAGATCGACGGGACTTACGATTTTATTCTTATTTCGAACTACATGAAAAACTTTATCGTCCAGTCTATACGGTGCATTGTCATTGACCAGTGTTATATCGACCAGAATCTCACAAACATATTGAAAATCTTTGTTCAAATCGGACATTACCAAAAAGTACATTGAATCGGTTGTCGTTTCCGAATCGTCGTGACAATAATAAATATCGCCCAAATACAATTTGTCCAATGAAAATGAATCGATTTGTGATACCTTCATGGTTTCACTATTCACATTGCATAATACACCATTTCGTGGTGGAACTGATAACTTTAACATTAGAAAATTGAATTTGTTGAACAATACTTCGAATTGTTTTCGATTCAATTGGGCTCGATCACCTTCTTTAACATGAATCAACTCACGAGTTTGATAAGATAGCATTTTTGATAGTTCCTCCGGTGGATTATAAACTATTTTAATGCTACCAAATACGTCATCGCATTCGGGAACTGATATAACAAACTCAAAGACATCAATAAAACTCGAGTAACACGTTTGATACGTTCGATATCGAATCAAATGCTTGTCAATGTCTTGTTGCGTAAACGAATCACCTTCTTTTGCATACTCCGGGTAACCATTCACATAGATTAAGCCATATCGCGGCGGTGTGATTACGGTGTAGATTATATTTCGGGGAAATGTTTGTAATGGTGTTGTTTGATGGAAAAGATTCGAATTGGTGATCGTTTTTTCTTTGGTTCCGTTAATTTGCAGCGAGTTTTGAATTTGGATGCCGATTTTTAGTTTGGTGAATGTCAAACGAAAATCGTATTTGTTGCTCTTTATCGGACCAAACGATACGGTGAACTAAAATGAAAGAAAAATGGGATTTTTTTTTATTATTTGAGAAGGGACTTGAAATTCGTCGATTTATTTATAAAGAAGGTTTTGGCGTAAAAGGAAAAAAAGGGACTCTTTCGAAAGCGAACCCACCTTAAAATCATCATGAACTGGGAAATCCGTGTTATGAATGTATCGAACTTGACCCAACTGTATTTGATTGCTTGTGAAAAAATCGACATTTATCCAAGACGAATCAACCGCTCGAAGTCTTTGAATGTTACCAAATTGAGGTTGCTTCACTATTGTATATCTGTAAATCGATGAATTTGCGTTAAAAATATGAAAAACAGAATTTTTTGATGATTTGGAGACGGAGCTGTTATTGGCACCGAAGGAGTGCGGTATTTCTATTTTTAAAACAGCTCTGTTCCTCCAAATTAGAAGTGCAAAAAGATAATAATAAAGAAAACTCACTTAACATCAATGTTGTCATCGTCTGAATTCGAAACAAATGAAAGATTGCATGGTGTAATAAACGCAACGGATTTATGAACCAAGACCATTCCAGTATTGTTAATCATGCGCAATTGCAGTGGAAGTATTGAAATCGGCAAATATGCTTTTTCGCTAGTTTCCATTCCATCCGAAACTTGTATGGTCAAATCGAATGATTTGTCATCGGCCGTTTGACTATTCACCAAATAAGTGACAACACCTTGATTAATATCTTCTTGAGTGAAGGTGTTTGACTTTTTGCCCGAAACTTCAATCACCCCATTGTGTGCAGGTGAATCGGGTTCGATTGGCGTTACGATTGAGTACAGCAATGAACTCGGTGGACTATCCGGATCGTCTGCTGTTAACAATTCCGGTGTTATAATTTTCGGAATGCCCTGTGTCAATCTCAACACTTTATTTGAGTTCATGCGAAGCACTGGGGCATCATTAACCGGTGTTATGTTGGCATGTAAAACGAATCGATGTTTTCCAAAAAGTGCTTCAGGGATAACTTCACGATTTGATGATATAAATTGTAAATCGATGGTCATGTGGTCGTTTGACTGTTCGTCTCCGTTGTGCATGTATTTCACTTTGTCCGTACTCAATTCGATCAACGAAAAAACTTTGCCTGATACCGTATTATTGCCGCCACCCTCAGATGCGATCATTATTTTACCATGTTTTGGCGGCGAAACAATGTTAAATACGATTCCAGCTTCCATTATACCAAGTTTGGTGTAATCGATTAAAACATCGATCGCTGATGTCGATAAAAAAATGCTATCGCCTTCGAGTAACTGCAATGGGTTCACTGATAACAATTCTCTTTCTTCGATGCGCGTGAACAGCTTGTAATGATCATTAAAATCAGCTTTTATACAATATGCCTGCTCACAATAGCAAATGAAGTCATCATGTTCATGCTGTTGGCATGTACCACTTGAAATGCATGGATCTTTTTCTAAGCATGGGTATGCCCAGACACAACCTACTTCAACGGCATGAGTCACTTTCATGTGCGGAAATCCAACGGCGTGCTTATCGACCATCAAGTTTTGAATGCAACCGCTGAAACTTTGTACCTTGAGTCCTCTTTGCGTTGCTTTTCTCTGCCGAAAACTGCTTAAGCCGCCGACAAAGTATTCTTCACCAATCTCCAATATATTGCTGCTTTTGCTTGCAAATGTGGCACTGTGTACTGTTTCGTCGACGACCAACTGAGGGGAGGGGAAATTGATCGAATATGGTGAAAATTGATAAAATCGAGAGGGCCCAAAGTAAAAATATCATACCTCAACTAGAAATGGGCTATATGAAATGGAAACATTGTGCCACTTTCCATCGGTGATATTTCGTTCGGATACCAATTCCACTGCATTTGATCCTTTGCCCACTAAAAATCGTATTCTCGAATTTACAATTTCCAGTGCAATGAAATCGGCGGCACTATTATACAGAACCATGCCAACCGTCTCTATTGTTTTCAATTCCATATTCCAACTGTAAAAGTTAAAAATGAATTATAAATTGTTGTTCTTGACTCTGTATAAATCATAATCACTGTCATTCAAAATGATACCTTTCGCCGGTATGAACGGCTGGCTTAGCAATCATGACAAATGAATCGTCACGTACGAAACTAATCCCTTGATGCTGATCAGCGTCAAATTCCGAACTACAAGTCCACAAAACATGTACGCTCGACACATGCGATGTTCGCTCTCTGGCCCGTTTGAACACATTTATGTTGTTATAAAATACCTAAAATAAAATAAAGCATTCCAATAATATATGCGCTCGGGGAAATAAAACATGTAAAATGATATCATATTATTTGAATGACTGCAATGTCACGGTTAAAAAACAGTAATTAATTAGTACAATGATCTAAAAATAGCAAATTGAACTCTGCAGATCTACATTGATTCAAAGAAGAATAAAAAAAAAAAACACAAATGCTCGCATGCTAAAAATAAACAACCGAAAAAAAACATACTCGAAGATACGTGATAAATTTAAAGTGGAAATGAAATCTAAAGAATGAACAAAAAAAGCAGTTAAATCGTGCGCCATTATCTTACGTACATCTGACATGCATCCTCGAAAGTTATCCACTGAATTTAAATAGGCTTCACTGTAGTCACCCAAACCGCCGAAAAATACACCGAAATGCACATTCAATTCACCAGTCTGTGGCGGCAACATTTTTCTAGAGCAAAAAAAAGGAGAGAGAATCGGTTACCGTTAAATCATTTCTGAATTACCTTAAATATCAAATGTTTACCTTATAATTGGCTCATCGATTTGGATCGTTACGTTCGTATCGTATCGCTGAAAGGAGATATCGTGCCATTGCAAATCGTTCACTTTTAATGGTGACCATACCTATAAGCATTTGGTTTATTTTAATTAACAATCCACGCATATTTTTCATATTAAGAGAATGAGACAGTAAATTATTTTAAAGTTCAAACTTTGGTTGTGCATTCGATACAGAGCTGATATTGGTACTGCAGAGGTGCGGCACACGAAAAATTACATGTAATAAGTGCCGGCACGTCGCCAATAACAGCTCTGATTCGATAACACCGAACGGCAGTCGTTTTTGACAAACGTAAAATATGCAATTGGTTTATTTTCGGTTTAATCAATTGAATTTGCATGGCGAAAGAGTTTGTGTTTTCACCAAAACAACCATTTCTCATTAAAATAGAAATTTTTCCGAAAATTCTTCAGGAAATTCATTCGGAGTTCGATCTCATTTCTATTGCCATAATTAATTGAGCGAAAAAGTAGCCGTCGACTAGTGTATTCATGTAAAGCCGAAAAGAAAGTTATATAAAATCCACCTCTGTAAAATGTTCGTTGATTTTAAACTGCAGCTTGATTCGGCCATCGTCGATGCTAAGTAAACAGTAATCAGTTCGACCGGCAGCCAAGAATAAAAGGCCATTGTCTTGACGTGTTCGAAAACGAAGGCGTAAATTTGTAGATAATTTTGCCTCTTGCAATGGCATCACCACATGACTGTCTCCAAAAAACGAAACTGCAAATTCAAAAGGTAATAAAAATTAGAATGTTGAACTTTCCTTTATAAATAGCATCATCTTGATCACTTTTATGTAATTTTTCCTAATAAAAAACTTTAAGTGCCTTTCCAAAGAAATTTCCATCAATAAAATCTAGCAATAGTAATTTTACATAATAGACATACATTCTCATATGGGAGGAATTTCCAATGCTCAGTTAGGCTTTTTGGAATTAAAATGAAAAGAAGTGTCATTCTTAATTTTTGACGCTCTATCGATTGGAATTATAATTTTTTTCCTGGTCCCTCCCTATCTTCCTTATGAAGGCTTGCACTTTTTTCTCTAAAAATTTTTGCCTTACCGGCCTTAGAGTGGAGAACACCCCCCAAACTCAAGGTATTTTTTGATCCTCTATCCTCTATCGATTGGTTTTGACTCCCTAACCCCTCCTTACTCTTTAATATTATTTTCGATAACAATGTATTGATGAACCCAATCGAGAGTTAGTTCAGGAAAGTTATACGCTTCTTTTATAAAGCAATGTAATTCATTTATTAAAACACTACATTTCTGATCACCTTCTATATTTTTTGGTTGAGGCGCTTCGTCAGTCTCTCTACACAAACTATTCCTGATTAGCCAGAAAAAAAGCACACACATTGAACTGTGTAACATTGTCATGTGTATTAAAAAGTTAGTTCTTAGTTATTTATTCAGTTGTCCGAATATCACTGAAAGATTGCAATTTTTACTTTCTCAATAGACTCAAGAAATGAGATTATGCGTCGTAGACACATTCAATGTTCAATGTGCTACAAACCAAAAAAAGATAATGGCTTTATCATATCACCTTGAGCAGATGTCAATGTCGGTGGGCGCTGATGAAGCACTTTTTGTATGGAAATATTTGTTTAAAATTCAACAATACGCCACCTATTGAAGACAATAAAGATTTTCGTTACTACTGCTGTCTTGACACAGCTCTAGCGAACTATATAGCTGTATTGCAAACGTATTAGTACTGACACCGATTCTGTGTATGCGTGTGTGTTGTAAATTTTGTACAAGCAGCTTCGGTTGACGACTGAGTGCAGAATTTGCAATACAAACGGACACACAAAATCAGAGTCAGTGTGTTCTTTAGTAACAAAAATCTTTATGTATTTTAATAGATGTCGTATTCGTTGAATCTTCAACAAAAAATCTTCGATACCAGCGCCCACCGGTCAATGTTGATGCGGTTCATGTTTTTTTTTCTGTTTCATTAACAATAAATTATCACTGTGTTCGTAATAGACTGGTTTTGGTTAAAATCATCAAAAATTACCTCAAGAAGACACCTTTTCTAGGGGATATTTCTATTCAAAAAACCCTAACTGAGCGTAGGAAATTTCCCCCCACACACACATGCTTATAGATATTTATAAATAAAAACGATGAACTTTTTCCACTCACCTTTAGCCGATCCCACCGAAGTAATTGAGCAAATCCATAGAATCGTTAAAAAGTAATCCATTGCTTATATTCTTACTACTGATGTGTTGCGCGAATTCATAAAAACTCCACTTGTTCATTACACCATTGCATTCTTCTTTTCCATTGCACGATTTCGATTTATATTCGAGACGAAAAAAATGTTCGTCGGGTTCAAATTTATTTCTCTCAATGTACGCTACAGTCCGTAGTAATTTCGAATCGCTGGGGAGTGCGTGTAGTGTAGTTAGTTTTTTTCGCTGTTAAATCTGTTAATAATAAGAATATAAAAATGGCAAATTCTTAATTTAATATTTCTTCGTTCCAATTTAGATATAAATCTAAATTTTAGATACATTGAAATCTGTTAAAGCATAAAAGATGGTTTTATGGGCAAAAAGGCGGAATGGTTTTAACAATTCCCCAGTACTGAAAATGTCCCTTGTTATAGATTAAATTAATTGTAATAGATTTAGTGCTTATTTGTACATTTCACATCGTTAGATTCAATTTAGATTCTATTGCTTCTGAAAATGTGTATTGAGATCCATTAATTAAATGCGGATACAAACATGCGTGCGTGCACCATGTTTATATGTTGTGGTTGTTGTTTTTTAAATGGGAATAACGAAAGAGTGAACGTACAACATGTGTTCAAATGTGAGCGCCTCATCGGCATTTCATGATTATCTCTGTATATGTAATACAATATCGAGTGTATTTATTTTACATAGGATGTTTGTTTTGTTCGGACTTTTTACAACAACTTAACGAGTTAACAACAACAATGAGTGTCTTGCAACCGTAGGTTTTTTTTCATTCTGTGTATATGGTAGTTTGATTTGCATTTTATGCATTGCTTAATTGCTTTTTAGCCAATCCCAAATGGTCTGTGAAGCATGGTTTTAAGTGTGTAAAGACCATTAAATTTGTTTATGCAAATCAAGTATTTAAATGACTCAATTGGAATTGAATACACGATTTTTTTGCGTTATCTTCTGATGACACATGTAACTAAAGATAGATCGCATAAGGAAATTTTTGACCTTCGATTTAGGTGCGTCTGCGTTTCTTGAACTGATTTGATATTTTGAAATCACAAATTTTAATTGAGAAAACAAAAAAGAAATTTGATCGCGATTTTTGAACATGTGTTTTTCGATTAATTTAGAGAAAATAGAGCATATGGGTCAGGCATACTTTTGCTATAAATTAATTTGAATTTTCACCAAAAAATCGCCTGAAATTCCGATTCGAGATGGAAACTAGCAAATTGAAATTATCAAAAAAAAAATGAAGAAAGATTTTGAAAGTGGAATCGTCTTTTTGCTCTAACTTCACGGCGATTTATGCTTCCGACACAATCTCCAACGGCTCCTTCGTTTATAACGAGGAGATTTCAAACCAGAAGAAAGCCGATCGTTTGTCAGTTTCAATTTATTTTTGTTTTCATTTACTTCATTTTATGGGCATTTGCATCTAAAACGACAATGCTATTGCTATTTTTAACCGTGAATGTTTAGTTTGGAAAGTGCTTTCTTCTTTTTTTTCTCTTTAAGTCGTTCCATCGTACATTCTACATGCCTCTCATGAAGAAGACATCGTCAATCTTGTGCTCCACGTCCATATCTCGTGTGTGTCTCAAAGGGAACATTTTCATGTCGCATTTTGTTTAGACGAACCGCGCCAAGTGAAAATGCACAACAATTTCACACCAAATAAACGCAAAGCATCACTTTTAATTTACGTTACTCGATGTGGCGACTCAACAAGAGCCTCTTTCGATGCGATCGCTTTTATTTTTATACGTATATACACACATACTGTCTCTACTTTTATGATCCCATCATTTTTCCCTGCGTTTTCTTTACAGCATCTCAGCACTGAACAAACAAACTAGACTATTGCAACTCACGGTACAATTCCTTTCAATTAAAAAAAAAAAAAAACAGGACGGATCAAAGGAGACTGAGCCGCAACGACAACAACAACGAAAAATCAATTTTCTACGGGTGTACCGTTTAGTCGGGCATATGCGAGCAGTTATTATTAATTTTATGGGTTTTAACGGTGTAATGGAGTATTCAGAATTATACACTTATTTGGAGAGAGAGAAAAAGAAATTATTTATGCAAAGAAACTATGTACCAGACTGGTTAAATGACAAACAAAAATGACACTTTTTTCGTATATGCGCAAAATTATAATTAGATTGCATCGGATTTAATGCAAGCAAGTGCTGTATCATTACAGGCTTCTCGACAACGATCACTCTTACGAAATGGACAAAGTCATTCAGTGCAACTCAGTGAGCATGAGCCAATTACATCGAATAAGTAGATGATGGAAATGATGTGATAAGTGCTCATCAACTCCATTCGAATCTTAATTTAATGGAAGAGGGCGTAATTGACTCAACGATGATAAGCACCGTCTTCAATTTATATGTGTTTAATTGTGAGCATTAAAATTCAATTAAAACCGAGTCTTATCGCACAAATTGAGTATTAACTGAAGAAATCGAAATCCATACGAAAATTAATTAAATTTAATTGACAGTTGGTTTTATACAAACGCTTCCTACTACGAAAAACATCAATGTATGTATAAATAAAAAAAAAAACTGAAAATAAAAAAAATCAATAAATATCGGTTATTCGATGGGAAACTCGCACAAACATGACGCTCTTTCTGTCTCACAGAAAAAGGTCCCATTTGATCGTAATCTTGTTTGAAAAACAATATTTAAAGTGTAGCAGTCTTTCGTCACGATGGCTGAAAGTATCTCTTTGTATAAGTAAAAACAAAAATAAGTATCGAACGAATTTTTTTTAACAGTTCATTAATTTCTGGTTAAGGTATTGAAATCGATGATAAATATGCAAATTGTGTACGATTTCCGTTATTCGTTGCGTTGTGGTGTGGCGTGAGGCACGCGGAGTAACTTCGATTCAATTGCGATGAAAATGATGACACATATTTCGTTGGGCCCGAAAACATATTAATACAAAACGTGACGACGTGTTATGCTTTATATTTCATTGTGAGAAACTAATATTTTTTTCTATGACAAAGAATCGATGAAAACAAAAAATTGACAATGTTGAGTCATTTTAGTTGCGACTAGAGCTGGGCACGAACATCAACGATCGATAAGTTTTTTTTTCCATTTTTGTGGTCGGTCGTTCGTTAGTTGAATTTAATAATGGTCAGTCGATCGTTCGAAGAAATTGAAATGTTCCCATATCACTTCACACTAACTATAATAAGTATAGAAATATGGCGAGTGTGGAAGGATTTATGATAAGAGATATCAGTGTGCGGGTGCAGAGTTGTAATTGATTCGATGAGAAAAATAGTGGCAATACAGATGTTCGCTACCCAAAAAATATTATCTAAAATAGCGTCAATTATTACGCATTATTATATCACAGCGCATAATCTAGGTTGCCTTTTTCAGAATTCGATTTTCGACCACCGGCGGACCTAGTTTATTAAATTATACTCAAATCACGAGCAAAAATAGTGTTTTTTTGTTCTTCGAACGATCGAAAAAAGTATTATTTCACCTTACAAACGAACGACCGACTGTTCGTGCCCGGCTCTGATTGCGACATTTCAGAATGGTTGAAAATTGTTTCCGACTCATTCGACACATACACCAAATTGCGATTTGTTAAAAAATTGAATAAATCAAATTCGAAATGAGATCCTAAAAATGTGTGTGTTTTTTTTGTTAAATTTTCTTTATCTTCAAATGCGATGAGTTTCCCTGCCAACGATTGAAGAAATTCTCTTTTCGCGGCCAATAAACGTTTGATACAATTTATCTCTTCATTTCTTCTGCTCACGAAAAAAAATAGTGAAATAGCATGTTTAGTATAACCCTGTGTATTTTGTGGCGCATAAAATTCGAAAGTGTCTCTGGATCAAAACGCATATAGACATAACATACACATCAAACACTTTTCATCTGTCATAAATCATCGCCGCATCATCGAGACGCCAAGATATGTACGTAACATGTCATTTGGTATATGTATTATGTGACTACTCTATGCTTGTTGTTTGGATTGACTCGAACGATTTCGAGCAAGCAGTGAATTCGTATCGCATTTTGTTTTCACTTGAATTTTCCCCGTATGTTATTTATTCAAACAACGGCGATGATCACTTTTCTCTTCTTTGTGTTTATTTTGTCGTTTTCTCAGCGTAAGTGCCGCACACACACACACATCGTGGAAAATGAAAATTCTAAATCGAGAACCGCGGTGCTTTACAGAAGGGGATTTTTTTCCTTTCTCTCGTCATTTCATTCAATTTACAGAATAGATTCAAAATGGGATGTGTTGGTGTGTTTTATAAATAAAACTTTTACGACAAAGTGACTCAATTTATCTTTTTTATGCCGTGAGCGCCGAAGACACGACATTTTCGAACCGAAGAAATACACTCATGATTTCAGCTCAATTGAGACCTTTTGGAACTACAAAAATACAATTCTCGCATTTAAATTGATCATGAAATCGATTTAAAATTGATTTCTTTCATTTTTATCAGCCTGCTTTTCTGTATTACACCCAACCGGGATTCAAGATCGTTGCCTACAATTCTATTTTATATTGTTCAACACACACTTGACTTATTTGCACAAAACTCGTAAACAAAATATGAATAATAAAAAAGGCATACACATACATGCACCTCAATTTGGATTTCACGGCAAAAAACTGAAATCGTTCTTATTTTTCTTGTGAAAAGAAGCAAAAACCCGCACGCAAAATAATCACTTGCAACTGAATGAATGTCGGGTTTTGTTCGATGCGCGAAAACATATACTTTTCCACTTAAGAGACGAGCAGCCAAAAAAACAATCAACGAAGACGACGCGTAGAGTCAATTTGTTCTTAATGCGTATACACTCTAGTATGATATCATTCATTTGCCGAATCTCTCTTTACTCATGCACTCACTCACATTCGAGATGGCTTTGAATCCTCTTAAAATGTGTTTTTGTTCCTTTTTCAGATCGTCATATTTTTTTTAACTCAAACACATCCGTATGTCATGCATATTAATGTCATTGACTGACTTCTCTTAATCGTTTCAAAAAAATCACTTAAATTCGATCTCGTCGCCGGTCTAGTTTTGTTTCAAAACGAAATTTTCTTGCGTCGACTTAATCAATACAAATTGGCATTCATGCCATTGAATCAACAAAACACTATGGTAAACTTAATTCGATTTTTATTAAGCAAAATTTATCGATCTTTCACTATAACCATATAGTTCCAATTTAAATACGATTAACGATTGAATACAATTTTCAGTGGAAACCAAATTTAGCGTGTACACTCACAACAACACACTTCTCCGAACTAAAGACAACACACAATTTCAAGAGAAATCGACTGCACGCTAAAGTGTTCTGTGAGAGAGCCGTGTTCATGCGCACAAACCGTATATTTGATCGGTTGCTGTTAAAACAATGAACCATATGATGAACCGAGCGGAGTACGAAAAGAGGAGAAACACATTTTTTTAGGGTGCGTCGATGTTCATGGCATATGTGTGTACGCATCTTACACAAGTAACGGTTAGTTGAGACCGGGATCATTCAACAAAGATCAGTTGATCACATGCATATGCATTCTGTATGACATCTGGTCCTCACTCAACACAGTGAAATTTGAAAGAGTAATTTGATTGCAAATACGATAGATGCAACATTTCCGAGAAATTACAAAAACAAAAACAATGTTCCGACCAACTCTGATTAGATCATTATGCATTTTTTGTTGTGCTGCATCTTTTTCCAAAACGACAAATTCAAAGAAACAACATGAAATTAAAATGAACTTGAAGAGTGACTTTCGCGACAATGAACCATATGTGTTTCTTTTTTCTTCAAACCATCGATTTATCTTCATCGTTTTGGGTGCGCGCGTTAGATGTGCATGCTTTTTTGAATGCATTCTCTTCGTTGCTTGCTCTTTGTCGATTCTTCGCTTGTTTCCTTTCAGTTCGGGGGAGTGCCTGTGCCGATTCGGCTACACACGAATGTGTGCGTGTTTTTTTTTTATTTTCCTACTTCTAATTCGTTGTTTCTTGAAGCGTCTTTATGGCTGTGCCGTTCTGTATTTCTTCACTTTCAAACTGACTATGTGACACACAGCCGTTCCGGCTATACATATTAACATTGATTGAGTTGTATATTTATTGCCCATTCAACATGCATAAAAATTACGATCAACTCGTAGTTTTCTAATACGTTGCTCATTCGATTTCTTCGTTGTTTACATTTAGAATACGAACAAAATTCCCACAGATCAACCAAATACCCCGAACTGAATTTAGACAGGCCAATTTATGATGGCTATTAGACGAACATGATTTTTTTTTTCAATGTTCGCTTTGTAAATCAGTGTTTTCTATTCGGCAATTGAATTAACCGCAAAAGAGCACTTAAAAGTAATGGTTGACCTTTCCCAATTTGCATTTTTGTACTTACCGACAACGAAAATGAAATGTTTCTCTCGGTATTTGACTAAATGTATACATTTTTGACACAGGAACCACATCGCCTCAAAAATTCTGCATTGCGCTTGATTGATGAATTTGATTGAATTAAAATTAGGTGGAAACAAATGCAACGGTTAACTTCAAAATCTGGTTCACAATATTATTATTTTTTTATTCAATTTCATCCGGTTCAGTTGGCAAATCAAACATTTTTTTTTTTTAATTGTAAATGTGTTAAAATAAGCTTAATGTTATCTCTGTTTCTACTCAAATTGCGACTAAATTCAAAATGCTGCTGTTGTTGATTGATTTTTTTTTTATATGAGTAAATGAATGACGTTGTGTTATAAAGTTACTCAGAAATTGCTTTGTAAAAATCACAAGTCACTGTTCCTTTTTTTTCGTGTCCTTTCTGTCTATCACACATTAATGAGTGAAATACCGCGTAAAAGGGGTGAAAAATTATATTTTGATTCGAGTTTAATGCCAAAGTAAAAAAAAACGAGAAAAAAATCACGCTACCGTCGCCGTTCGCCCTTCACAGTTTTTCGCTTTTCTTTTTTCTCTTCGCGCAATTGTTTTTGTTTTTCGCGATCAAGTTTGTCTTTTTCTTTTTTGGCTTTACTATCATTTTTGGCCTGTTCACGTCGTTCTTTGGCCAATTGTTGAACATCAGCGGCATTTGTATTTTTAATCAAAAGCGGATCATTGTTATCATGTGTTGAACTGGTGCCAGCCGCTTCTTCGACTTCTTCATCGTAGCCATCATCGTACTCGACCTGACTGTATTGCGATAGGATTTGTTCGCGAATTTTTAACTCCTCTTCGGTGTATTGGCGTTGAACCGTTGTCGCTAGATGCTGTGTCTCTAATAATCGTGCCAATTTAGCGTCAACATCTTCGCTTTCCGCTGCGGGCGTATCGCTTTTTGGTTCACACTTTTCCCATTCATCGGTTATCTCTTTTATCACATTTTCAAGGTCAGTTTCCTACAAAGACAACAATTGATTTAAAAAAAAAATTAAAAATTGAATTTTTTCTCCTGGTATTTTATTGAATACGTACGATTATTGCAGATAGAATTCCTTCGAGAGCCTCACATTTTTCATCCGTTGTTTCATCACCTTCAAGTATTCCCAGTATGTATGATCCAAAAACATTTTCGTCGGTGTTTAAACTCTTCAATTTGTTATTTAACCACTTATTGAATGCATCTTTGTTGGACATTTTTGTTAGTCGGTGGATTTTCAGTTTTCTCCCAAACACCGATTTTCTTTCAGGTGCCTTATTGTGACACGAATTCTATTTAAAATGAGATTTACGAAATTAAAGGTTAGTTTTTGTGGGTCGATGTATAAATGCACATATTGTTCAGTCTGACAGTTTGACGTCTTACAAGTCGTACCGTAGAGTATGACAAATGATGTGGTTTGAAATCCACACGTTGTATTAGGGCGCCACGTGAAGCTTTTGAAAACACTTCAACGTACCGTTGAAACCTACTAAGGTTTTATTTACTGTCATTAGTTCGATTGCATTCCACACACTTGTGCTGCCATACACCGGCTTTAATAAACAGTTAGTAGCGAAATTGAGGGAGACATACGACATCACAACTGCACCGATCATCGACACATACAGACCATTTTTGGATCAATTCAATTGAACTTTTTTTTGTATATTTTCAATGTAACTGAAAAAAAAATTCAGTGAAGAATAAAGCCAATTGCGATTTAATTTAAAAAATATATATATTAATAAGAGTAATTGTATTGTAAGAAGTTAAAGTGAAATTGTGGTGCAAAAACTTTGATCAATGTGAACGCTTGTATGGTAAGACATTTTGATTATTTTGCACAATCAGCAGACGCAAATATATAAGAGTACAGTCATTCATTAAATATTCATGTTTTAGTCATATAATTGGCGCTTGGTAAACATCCACTTGCAAAAATAGTTGATGTACTTTTGGAATGCTGAAAACATCGAATCCATTCAATTAAATTGAGGAAAATCAACAATTAAAAAAAATTCAGTCAATTTATCGTGCATATTGTTCCAATCGGTAAGCCATCTTAAGTTTTCATTTTTTTGCACATTGAAATACGTGAACAGCATCTTTATATTTTCAGCTTGTGACTTGTTGATTCGGCATATTTTTCGGAACGTTTTTTCGTTGTCGCATTTCGCAAATAGGTCTTTGAGTCATTTTAAGCAGACATTCGAAGCAAAACAATGGACATACCGAAAGTCGGATCGCCAGAATTCTTGGCCGAATTAGAGTCGATTCAAGCGAAGAATCGAAAAGATCACAACAAACTGACCCGACGTGAACGGGAAATTTTGATCCTTCACAATCTTCAACGACAAGCAGAAGTCAACGCCGAATTGGAACGTGAAATCGCCAAACTGAAACTCATTTATGAGATAACACCTGAGCAACGCGCACAAAATCGTCAAAGCCATCGTTTCCCTGATCATATGCTTCCGAATAAGGATACACGGTCTGGCTATTTGACTGCTGACTTTTTGACGTCCGTATTGAAAAACGTTGGAAATGTCAGTTACATGAATGCCGTCTTGTACGCATTACGCTTTGTGCCACAACTCATGCATGGATTGCATCATTTGTACAAAAATGTACTGATTCTCGGTGGCGAACGCGATAAATACATCGGGCATGGATGTCATGAAAAGTTGACACCAGAATCATGCGCCAAATGGCATGCAACCAACAAACTCGAATCGAATCGAGACAAATGGTCAAAAGCAGAAACCGATGAACTGGCTGAAGTTCTCAAATTGAAGTCAAATGAGGTCGAATTGATCAAAGCACTGCACTTCATGTTTGCCGAATTGCACCGATACGAAGATCACAAGTGCCGAGATCCATTCAAGCCAGAGAAACTGAAGGATGCAATTTCAACAGCATTCAAGATAGGAACGGAACATGATCCATATGCATTCTTGATGTTCATGGTGAACGCCATTCGATCGGTGAACAAAGACATCATGAACTTATTCACGTACAACCCGAACATGGTTAAAAGGTTAGATTTTGAACTGAAAATTTTGTTTTTTTTTTTATTTTAACTTTTATATTTTTCAATTAGCATTCACGACGATGTTTCAGCTGTAATTTCATTGCTCAACTTTGACTTTGTTCACGAGTTTTTCATGGTGCAACGTGTCAAGAAGGAAATTTGCATGCAATGCAAGGATGAACGTGTACTACAAGAAGACGTGCTTGATTTCAAAGTGAACGGACCATTTTTGCAGAAGGATTTTATTCGGGTAATTATTGTGCTGAATCAAAAGTGAATGTACATTTAAAATTATTGGATATAGGATTCATGCATGGCTGAAGTGATATTGACTGGTATCAGCAAGGATCATTGTCACAATTGTCATCAAGTGGCTGAAGCAAAACATTTGACGACATACCCAGCATTGCCACCGGTCATGATTGTACGATTGGAATGTTTTGACAACCAAAACAAAAAGATTGAACGTGCCGTCGATTTACCATTCAAAATCGACTGTTTCTGCAATGAATGCATCGATAAAAAGGCCAATCACAAATACCGTTTGGTTAGTTTCGTCAGTCATACTGGTGAGACAGCGAATTCAGGTCAATACATCGTCTATGCTCGATCAGCCGAAAATGATCTCAACCCACCACCAGCATCGCCATGTCAATATCAGAAGTGTTGTCAGTCTGTTACAAAAAAGTTCTTTCGTCCCGAGCCGGCCATCAACCCATGGTACATTTTCAATGGCAAAGAAGAAGTACGACGATTCGCAATGACAGAGATCCAGCAGCAACTGATCAATGATACGAAGATTACACCATACGTCTTGTTCTACGTACGGGAAGACTTCATCCCTCGATCGAAGTAAAACTTTTTGTTTATTGCACTCTTATATTATTGGGATTACCCCAAACACATTTTTGGATTTTTTACCATGATTACTCCAAAAGGAGTCAGAATGACTCCAAATGGATTAAATTATTATTTTGTAAACAAAGAAATAATTTTCATAGTCAAATTTTTTATATTGTTTTCTGAAGTTTTACGGAAGCACGAATTACTTTTGAAACACCCTGACATCTCTGATGTTGTGAATTTTACAACAGAACGTTCACAAAATCTTTATGTCAACGAACGTTGTGAATTGTCTAACAATCGTTGTCATTGTGAATATACATATGTCATTGTATATTGTACGTATTCACAACGACAACGATTGTTGGACTATTCACAACGTTCGTTGACATAAAGATTTTTTAAACGTTCTGTTGTAAAATTCACCACATTAGTACTGTCAGTACATTATTGGGTGTTTTAAAATAATTTTATTGTGAAAAATAGTTCTATGTTCACAAAATAATAATTTAATCCATTTGGAGTCATTTTGACTACTTTTGGGGTAACATTAGAAAAAAATCCGAAAATTTGTTTGGGGTAATCCCTACAATATAAGAGTGTGTATTCAAATCAAACAGCTACAAGCATGTTAAATTTATCGAAAGATAGTCAATAAGTATCAACCATTTTCATTTATTTTTATTATCACAAAAACAAAAACAATTATTGAATACACACAACTCTGAAAGAGTTCAAGAAATCGTCTCGAAAGACAATTTTCATATCATTGAATAAAAACCGCAACTACTATTGACCATACTTGTTCTACGTATGGAACGAATTCATCCCAGAATCGAAGTCAGTCAAATTAACATCTTTTTAGTGGTTTAATGAATCAAACGACTGCAAAAATTGACTCAAGATATGTCAAGAGACAAATATCAACAATTTTCATTTAGTTTATTGCAAACAAAAAAAAAACAAGTTCAAAAATCATGTCGAAATTAATTAATTAAATAAAATTGTAACTACTTTGTGTAGAAAATGTCGTGTTTTTAATCTGGTGTCTTACAGTTCATAATTGCAGCCGGTCTGAGTTGAATTTTATGCGATGCAGGTTTTTAAGGTTTGTGATCTCTTTGCTCGACTATGACTAAAAATTCAAAGACAATCAAAAGAAAGAACATCAACTCTCATACTAGCCACACATATCGTAACATTACTTCTTTCATTTGAAAAAATTACAACTACTAAATACGGTGTCATTGTGAATCATTTCTTCGTTCTACTGTGTTTTTGGTTACTTCAAATTGCTGTATTTAATTTTTAAAACTGACAGATCTTGAACAAGCGTTAAATTGTTTGAATCGCTTTCTGCTGTTGAATATTTCCTTTGAATAAATCTGTTCACCCCAAACGCTATTACTTCGCAAAATATCTGTCGTCAGCACTTGTCGTCTTTAAACATAATGTAATTCCAGCAAGGAAGAAATTGTGTGTTTCGTCTAAGGCGGGCATCAAAAGTGCCGACTGCATAAAATCATTTTTATCGCTAACAAGACAGAGCCGATCGAATGTGTTGACAAATACATGCTTTCACCGTGTTTCTGCTGAAATGCCCAGTTTTATTTAAATTGGCTCATTGACATTTTGCCGATAACCTTAATCTCATTTTCAAATGTGCTTTCATTTCACATCGGATGTGAAACCGATTTGCGTTAATTCATCAAATTATAATATCGACCTTTGGTCGGTTTCTTTTTGTATAAAATTATCGACACTCAATTAGCACCTTTTAATAGGTGTACCAATCGCACGCAAACGATCCCCATTCAAACGACAAACGAGTTCGTCCGATAATAATTGTCGGTGTAATTTTAAGAAGAAACAATTACAATCACCTTTTTTCCAGTAGCCGACACAGTCAGCTCCATGCTGCCTGGTTTTTAGCTGGTTTCGTTTTAAAACTGCACATTATATAAAGTACAGAATCGTACAGCGTGCACAAGAACAGTGGACGGGAAAATCACGCACACAACAACAAAAAAAAAACATATACTGACAGTTCGATTATCCTGTGTAATTTGTCATGCGTGCCAATTTTGAAGTCAATCCACTCCGATAACACTTACAATGTAAATGTTATCGCCGTTGCATGTGCGTAACGTGTCAAAATTGGAATCATTTGCCAACACTTTAACAGACCGAGAAAAAAATTATAATTTTAAACCTGTTTGCCGTCATTCCTGGCAATCGATCAATTTTTCTTTGCAACAAAATCATTAAATATGATCATATCTATGATTATGATTATAGGAAGATTTTTCAAGTAGGCATCCGTTCTGAAAAGTAAAACCAACCAATTTGTCTGCCATGGAATTCAACTCATTGTCTTCGAATTTACAATTAAATAAGTGTGCAAGCGTGTGTCATAACAATGAATGCTAGTTTTTAATTGATAAATATTTTATAAATGAATGTGACATGGCCAGCTCGTAAAATGTGTACAAATTGCCATTCATACTGATAACGAAGGCGAAAAAAACAAGGATTTCACAGTAGTATATATCAAACAGCGGAAAATTAATGATAAAATATTCCGGCATCCACATCTTGAGCGATTTGTTTCAGATGGTTTCAGAGATAACATTCTTTTCAATTTTCCACATGTGTCTTCTATTATCAAAAGCCATTACTTTCTTGTCTAATAGTATATACATTTTCATTTGAATGAACAAAATCCAAGAAGGATGAAGAAAACCAAACAAACCAAAATGTGAATGCGTTTTAATGAGACGCAATTAAAACGTAACTCATTGCATATTATACAGATCTGCTTAAATGCCAGGATATAATTAAAATTTTCATACTCACATACAGACTCAATGCAATGGATATGTTATTGATTCAGAGCATTTTGAAAGGAGACATTTATTTGAGACGCACTTTAAATACCATCTCTTCAACTTGCACATTCATTGCAAATAGAGAAATGCATCCTTGAATTTATTGCTTGATTCACTTTTTTTTCTCTCTTGATTTTTCGTATTCGTTTAAGAGTGAATGGATTCAAAGAGCACATTTTTAATTGCACCGAAAAAAATGATTACATAATTGCGACGAGCAAAATATATTTTTATTTTTTTCGGAAATTAATAATTTAAATACACAAATGAGTCTATAGCCGGAGGTCAATTGAAAAAATTTACATAGAGTATATTTCAATTGGAAGAGGATTTAAATTGCATTTTAAGGTGTTTATTTAATACTGGTAGCATCTGTACAAACACACGGCGTATTTAAACAACATTTGGCGTCATTTTAATGGAAGAACTTTCGTCAAAATTTTTTGATACTTAATTTCTTCGTAAAATGTTTGAAATTGAAAAAAAAAAAACATAAAATTGAAACATTCACCTTTGAAAACAAGAATTATTGCAATTTTTTTCTTTTTAACTCTAAATTATAAATTGAATCACTTGGAATGTAAAAAAAAATATATGTAAAAGTTCAAATTGAAAGTGACAAAAATGAATGTCGGTAATTTTTTGTTTGGTTTGTTGTAGTCTTATCTATGCGAAATATCCACCCAGCCGATCAAGTCAGATAATGTGAATAAATGATGTGCAATTTTTTAAGTGAACGTTCCATTTGTCGTCGAATGTATTGTGACTGTGTAACATGAATCGCGTTTAAGTAACACCAGCAGCAGCAGCAGCAGTATCAATGGCGGATTCTAAATTGAAAGCAATATGAGCAGGGCAACTAGAATATGTACATAAGAAAAGTAATGAATTGTTTTGATTGATTTTATGTTTTGATAATGTGGACTTGTGTCTGTGTGCATAGTCGATCGATTCTTTCAGTTCGCCACTGGGAGTGTGGCCTGTACATATTTGTTACCCGTCATGGTATCCCGCTGTTTTTGAATTACTCTCTTGGTCGTGTGTTTGGCGTCTGAGTTTTCATCCTCATTTACCACCAACACAAAACACTCTCACACATTCGTCGCAATTGACTTTGAAATTATTAGACGTCATTTTCGTTATTAATTTTAGTACGTTGGATATTAAGTTTCACACAGCTTCCGAATGCCACATTAAAATCGACTGATTGTAATCAAGCGAAACGATCGCATCGTCGGCGATTTTTCACCGTTTTTTTCTTTGTTTAATTTATCCAAAACGTGTAATTTTTCTTTAGAAAAACATTCAACTGAAATTCGATGCGTTTTCGTTTGTTTTTCCCTCGGTAAAATACGCAACGACAAATAGGTCTCTCGATTTAAAAAAAAAACGTGTCACGCAATCAATTCGGTCATACATGAAAATGACCAGAACAGTAGCCGATTGACATCTGCTTTTTTTAGAGGAGACGAAAGAGTTTTTGATAATACACAGCTACACCTTATAACAAATGGCCCAGCGAATGGCTAACAAAAACCGTGAGGATAATAACGAGCAACAAAAACAATAACATTGAATAAAAGAGTTTTCGTTTTGAGTTTTATTGAAAACAAAAGAATACGGCGCTGACGGGATGAATAGCGGTCTCGAGATTCCTTTGTTAACGGCATTTCTATCTCGGCCGTCTGTGGAAGAAAAAAAGGCGCGCAATGCGAAACATTTTTTTTTATCGTTGTCTATTCTTTTTATACTAAATATAGTTGCCGAGGTCACGAACGCCGTTCGGCGTTGACAAAACAAATGCAAATAGCCAGTCACACATACATAATTCATAGGTTCCAACTTTGTTGACCGCAACAACATTTTTCTAACAGTTTTTTTCTTTTTTTATTTCAATTTTCACTGTTTGGACATTTTGACGATGGTTACAAAATGCGTACACAAAACAATAGCAATGTTGTTTTATGACATGTGTGTACATGCACACAATAAAATCGAATATGACAAAATGTTTACTTTCTAATACGCATCTTATGACCAATAAAATTTGTTTCCATCGTCCAATATCGTCGTTTTTCCATCAACGAATATACCACCGAATTTCGAGAAGAAAAAATCATTAAATTCTAGAATCGAATATCAATCATTTATTTTGTCCGATGTCGAAAGAGAGAGCAATAAAGACATTGACGCCATACACACCTCATTCGCCGGATGTGGTTTTAATCAATAAAAATTCAATTTTAATAAATAAATTTATCAGCGTCGGTACATTGTTTGGCTATTAAAATTGACTTTTAAAGACGATGTTGATGGTACTTCTGTGACAAACGGTATCACTTACAACGGATGCACGTGGAAGAGATCAAACGTATAAAGTTTCATGCATACAATTTAAATCAATAGAATGGACCAGCCGTATCAGGTTTTCCGCACTAAAAATTGAATCACTCAGTTCTCTTTTTTTCGTTTTCTATTTCTATTTCGATATTTACCGTCTTATCAAAATCACCGTGACCGGAGAAGCTAAATTAGAACTGAAATATGCAGCCGTTTCCAATTTCTACTCAGATAAATGTATGAATTTTAAATTTGTTGTTTAGTTGTCGATTTTTTGTCGTAAATATAGTCATAATTTACGCAGCGAGAGAACCAATTTCTTGGTATCAATCTGGTAACATCACAATTAATTTAAATTTATACAAGCAGAAAAGGCGGCATGAAAAAATGTGCGAATTTTAAATGGTCACGGATTGAGCGAATATTTAAATTCATTGACCTCAAATGAGATACGAAATTAGTACTAATGATGTGAAAATTGAACAAAAAATGTCTATTCGAATTTTAAACTTTGTGCATACCCTCGATTTGATCAGAAGAACGGTTATATTAAGTTTAATTAGAAGCTGTAACTATACTAAAAAGTTCTTTTAGAACCTGACTTCGTTTTTTCCTATAAAAAGTGTGTTTATCTTTCTTTTCAAAAATCTTTCCTCTTCTTCCCTTTCGAATGCGAAAAAATTCATCATAAAAATATTCGAATGCGCAACGATTTATCAAGAAGCACCACCAACCATTAATGATACGCAT